TGTCTTAAATAAAACAGTTTTGTTTAGATAGACAGCAATAATGCAATTTACACTTCCTAAGTGGATATTTATTTACAAATCGAAATAGGAAAAATGTTGACTAACTTTTATACCTAATGTCATTGCCCTCAAGCATTGCTCATAATATATAATGTAGTATTCGTCAATATTTATTATAATTGTGTGTTTTGTCTACAAATAGTGCAACTATCCTAATAATAAAAATGTGATTTTAAACTTAATTACAAAAAAAAAACATTAATATATCTGACTGTCTCTGGCAAAGGCAGTATTATATTTTGTTAATCCATTTGGAATATGGAAAAATGGAATTTATTTTAATGTCATTATATTAAGAACATCATCATATATATAAAAGGTATGAGGCCAAAATATGTAGATAAAATAAATGTATCCTCTATAAATATTATAAATCTAAATAACTGCTTTCGTATATCTGTATCTCCCTCTTACTTTTTGAAAATAACGGGATAAAAGGATTGTGATACAGTTTGCACTCTACATATATATGTTTTATATTATTTAAATCATTCCGGAAAGAATGAATGAACGTTGGCGTTAAGATAAATAGAATAAGTTACCTTTTATTTTAAAAATAGCTGATGTAATAGCAGGTATCTTATAAACAAGTATATAATTCTTATTATATTATTCCTTCTCAATAGGTTGTAAGTTTTAAATATAGGTATAAAGCTCACGCATTACGAATGGGAATTCGAACAGGTTTATCGGTATCCCTAGGGTTGTCAAAATTGTTTTAAATATGGCTAGTGACCCGTCCGGCTTCGCACGGATGATTTACAAATCTTTATATTTCTCAGCTTGTTCTGTACTATACCAGGCATGAAATACATATAAACCTTCTTCTTGAATCACTATATATTTCTGAAAACTGCATTAAAATTAAAATTAAAATTCGTTGCGTAATTTAAAACAGCGAACAGACAGCGGCGGGGAATTTGTTTTATACTATGTAAAGATATTTCAATATTTTATATATTACCTTAGGATACCTATTGTATTTAATTAATATTTAAAAATACATTAAATTTCTACACTAGCTGTATTTACCAATGTTAAAGCATTACATAACCGCATATCATATTATGGTAAAATAATTTACCTCCGTAAATTTATTATAAAAAAAGTTAGAGGCATATTTATAATTCCAAAATAAAGCATCTAACAGTACTTAATTATTGAACTCGTTGAGAGTATTGAAATCGTTATTAAATTATGGAAATAATTGAACTAGTTTAATTCAAATATTTATATAGGTATTGCATTTATTTAGGTATATTTATTATAACCTGACGGTTACATTTATTTTCTAATCAACACTGTATATTTTAAATTAATATAAGTTACATATTATGAAGCTAGTATAAATAATCTACATTACAACAACCCTGTATATGTAATATGCTCCTTGGATAGTGACGATATGCAATAATATTTATAATAGGCTCGAACTAAGAATGTCTTATGGTAAAAAATACAAAAGTTCGCCTACTCGATTATCTTCTCCAACGCGTCAATAAAATAACATACGTGCTGCATACTTGCATAAACTAGCCACTTTAAATGTACAGCTTTCATATTTTACGAACTTCCATAGATGAAAAGTAGGAATTAATTTTAATTACATTATATTAATGTTTTTTCACTTATTACGTACATCTGCGAACAAATTCATTAATATGTTTTTTGTAATATAATAATAATTTAAAATTGACAGCCCCATATCTACGAGTACATATATGTATACCTAATATTTGCAGGCTGACTTTTATTACTTTTGACTTAGTATAAAGCAAAAATTAAATAAACTCTAACTATAATGTATATCTAGGAGTTCTTATATGATTGACAAACATAAAAAAATAGAAAAATAAGTCTTCGATTTCATAAATGGACAAATAACATCGAATGGATATCAATACTCTACTTTTAATTTAAATTAATATGATTATGTCAACAAATGCCAGCTTATTCTTCCACCTAACAACTGCGACCCATACATTAAATATGTATGTCGTATTTAAAACCTACTAACAGAACTTAGAACAAGGGGCTATACGCTTTCACTGAAAAAGTCGTCAAGTTCTGTTCCTGTCCCTTGGTAAATTTTTTATAACTATATTTTGTTTCCTTTATTTATCAATAAAAGTTATTCACGATGGCAATTAAGCCGTAATTAATTTAACAATACAGATCATAAACTTATAACATTGATTGCATCTAGGTAGTAGCATCTCCATCCGTGTTTTCAAGTTTATAGAAGTGAATTTAATATTGATTCGTACGCACCCACCTTTTTTTATGTGAAACTACTGACACTCAGTTTGTTCCGTATGAATTCAATAATTACCTGGTAAATTGTTAAATCATGACTTTACTTCATTTCATGGATGGTTGCAAATTGCCTATGAGTATCTTAATATAACAACTAATATTTATACATGTAAAATAATTTGTTTTTAATTAAATTTTTGTATGTTACTAACTGATAAAAACATCACTTGTATTAATCTTAGTACCAAATTTTATTGGAAGTAGTTTAAACGTGACAATGTAAAATGCATTCATCGTTAAAAACTCTCCCAATTAAATAATAAGTTAAGTAGGATATTATAAAACTGCCACTGCTATAAACCGATGGAGATATATGAAACAGAATAAATCAAACCTGTAACTCTCGTTTCGTGAGTTGAAAACAAAATAATCTAATGATTAATCCCTTAAATAATCTTTAAGGTTCTTAAGTAACCCAACTCAGAGAATGCAATGAGTCCACCAAAACATATAATTCAAGTCCTGGCAACTGACACGTATGTGCGTAGGTAGAATCACGAATTTGTAAGTGGGGTCTTATTTTATTTTCATTTTACCAAAGAGTATAAAACGATTAACTGATAATCATAGATTATTAACACTAACTCAGCGTTGATCTATTCTCAGGTTTGCGTGTGTTATAAAAATTCCATTACAGATGTGTATTTTGATTCCTCCAATTAAGTTTTTAGCTGTGTTGGCACCAGATAAACAATGTACCTACGTACAGTTATATCATCTCAAATCTCGGCCACGACCGCTTCTATGGGTGACAATAGAACATGTTATTGACAGTGTTTGATCAATCCAACATTTCTTTTAACTAGTGAATGTGATGAATAATTTAAACTTCAAACATTTACCCATGTTATGACGTAGGTCATGTCAAATTATTTGCTAGAAATATACAATATTTTTTCATTTAATTATAATAATCGGATGATAATCGATAGATTAATAATATATAAGTAATTATGTGATTTCTATCACCTACCTACGTGCTGTCTTATAAAATACTCGTAAATATTAAATCTTCATAATTATACACAAATGTATTTATTACTCAATGATATTTCTATTGTATTATTTTATATAAAAAAAATAATGATTGATGGCACTACGTACTTACATATTACATATAGCAGATACGTTTTAATTTAAACTGCTACGCTACAATTAGCTTGTAAATTATTACGTTCATTGAAACAAATACAAAAAACATTTAATAGCTCCACATACAGATATACAATAAAAAAAACAAAGTGTGTATAGGTACTAGTTATAATTTGGCGCATCTACAATTCCTGATTCATTTCATAATTTGATATCATGTCCTACAGCAGCTTAACTACCCAAAAGAAATTAAGAATCCATCGAAATATACAATAACATTTGTCCGGCTGTCCATCAGAATTAGTAAATTTCCAAATCCGAAATATTCGTTGTGCGAAAATATTAAATAGTATCACATTTGTAGGCATTCAGTAGTATAAAGTCTTTAACTTGTATTTACAAAGCTGATGATATCTTCTGTAAACCAAGCCAGTGATGCTACCATGGAATTGTTAATAGTACAGCTAAGTCCCTAAATACTATCAATTAAATTTACATGAGAAGCGCACAGACTCCGCTTACCAACCATCTTCAACAGCATTGCAACCTAAAGGATCTATACAGAGTGTCTAGAAAGGATTCAAATTTTCTAGTCTTGTTATAGTTAGAATACATGAAAATAAATAATTTTAATATATCTAGACCTAGACTACATTTTTTTTATTAGGAACAACTTACCTCTTTTCTTCATTAATTAAACAAATGTCACCTGCTAAATATTTACGTTACAAACAGAGAGACAATCAAATTTATGATTTTATTGTAATAAATAAAATATAACTGTATGCAACTCAAATTAAATTATTAATCTGTATTATTATAACTATGTAACATCTGTTACATAGTTATGATAATAAATAGAATGATATATATACGTAATAAAAAGAGTGACAACTTGTGAAAATAATGTTTATAATATATATATATTATATCAATAAAGTTTTTTATATAAATATTAGGTCATATTAACAAGTGATACGATTTCATTCCGAAATTGGAGTTATGTAAGCATATATAAAGGTGCAATATATATATAAAGAATTGCAAATAAAAATGCAAATAAATCTATGTTTTGGTAAGTAGATAATCTGGAAAATGCCAATGCGTTTAATGTATGTGTGGGTAGTAGTGTTTTGTGAGGTCGAAATACGAGTAATAATTCAAATCCTTTCCTCACGTCTGAATAAATGAATACCGAACATGAAAGACCTTCTTTTTATATCTCATAAGATTTCAAATTTAAATGTTTTAAAAACTGCATGCGTATTGCACTTCTTTTTTTATTTCATTACCATATATTTTTACTATAAAACTTTAAAAATGTACTTAATCACTCAATTGTAATAAAAAAAAATTAATAAAATTAATTAAACAATTTTTTTAATAAATTTAAATTTATACATCATATATTTTTATCACATATTTTAACATTATAATTTATTAGTTATATAATTTATATATATATTTATAGTTTCATATAATTTAAAGACACAAGTAAAAAATAAATTTATATTATATGTGTATTCACTTACCTACAATAGTGAAATATATATTTAAAATTCCAGATCACTTCCACTTTTACATAAAATTAATTGTTTTTATTAATAAAACAATTTTCTAAATATAGATTCAATAAATTGTACAATAGGTCTATGGAAGTAAAGTTTCTCGCGGTCGCGCTCGTTCGAAAATGGCGGGAGATTTTTCGCATAGGGGCTGAGATGCGTATGTCCTTGCGAGGTGGACAAGGTCTCGGTGTGCTTACATATGGACGCACAACGCGATTCCTTCGCCTCTTATAGCCTCTTGTGAGTACAAGCATTTTTGCTGTAACGGATTCGGTAGTGCTATCATCCTAATTGCAGGATATTTCTGAGTACGATGTAATCCTTACGTTATAAATACTAGTATATAAATAAGTATTGTGTGTTTTTATTTAACTTGAAAAATATGTATATTTACGTTTTAATGATGTAACAAAATAAAAGATTATTAATATTAGGTAAATTTAAAAGTTATTTTAGAAAAGTAGATCGTGCTTATACTATTCTGACTGCAGGTCTATTTGTTGTAATAATTTAAATAAATTAGTATTTTATTTTATTAACTGTTTTAGCTTTTAAATTACATATATATTGATTTTATTTTAAACAAATCTGGAAAATTAACTTCTCTAGGTAGTATACATACTGGGTCATTCCTCCAAATATCTATTTATGATTCTAATAACATAGGATACTCTAATAAAGTATTTCAAGGTACAATGTAGAGTTACTCTATTCAATAGCTTGACAGCTATTAGAGTCAGATAACACGGTAAATTTATATTAAAGTTAATGCGTGATCGTATGTACTATCACTAGCTGATTTTATATAAAAAGATCTCTGGTTTAATTAATGATACCTTTTATCGAAATTAATAATTCTCATTCCACACATTACATGATAACCACGGGAATAACAATGTAGGTACGTCAACTCATTTCATTCTCACGTCACTCTTCGGAAGTAAATGCTATAGCTCTATATATTAAGACAAGATTCTATCTCTTATATTAAGAATCTAGGAATCTTTCGTCTACTTTTGTATTATTTTATTTCTCTTTTTATTATTTCTATTTGCTTTATATTTCGCCCTGCAGACCAAAACAACGTTCTGCTGTATCATTACAGAAATAGGGTAAATAACAATATTTTTCAATAAAGAATACTCGCTACTGATATGTATTTTTATTTATTTAATCCCGCTAATTAAAATCCTTCGGCGTCGGCGCTAAGAGAGTAATAAATCTTACGGGAATTAACATTATGGAGTATTTTTTCTTCTAATGAGGAGGTAATCTACAAACCACACAATCATCGTATAGACGTCTGTATGTAATATAGGTACATTAAAGGATATTTATTCACGGTATTGGTGTCGTCAATTCGAGTTTGACATATAAAAAATATCGTATGGCAATGGTAATTACCTAACAATTAAGGAATTAAAATTGGTTTTTGATTGTTGACAAATCTAAAACTAATCTTAAAACAATAGTGGGTAGCGAAGTATTTAATGGAGGCATAAAAAGTGTAAAAATCTGTTGTACTATACGGTAAAACGCACAGTGTAATGTCTGAAATTAAAACATAAAATTCAAGCTAAAATAATTTCGCCATCACAAACACTGCTGTGACACCGTAAGATAAAAATACACTTAAACTGATATAAGTGATATTAATTCGACATTAACTTGACAAAAACTTCACGAAAAGATTAACGTCGGTATATCAAATCAACCGTTAAGCGCCGGCATTTTAGTTCCCGAAATGCATTTGTTTAAAAAACGTGATATAATTTCCTTTAATTACGGATGATTTGTTATTTGCACACAATTCCTATGGTATCTTGTGGGAAATGTTTATCATTTTTATATCTTCCGGCACCGTGTTTATATTATTTTGAACCTCTTAAAACAAACTATAAGTATACTTTTCAATTCATAATGTTGTTCGTGATTCTAACACAAATGCTTTACATGGAATCTGCTGGGTCGAAAAAAATAAATGAGTGAACTTCTTGGTAATATAGAGTAGGTACCTACCGAATTAAATTAGTTATGTAGTAAGTATGATATAGTCAAACATCTTTAACTAAATTTGCCCAGAAATTCTACCTATATGTTATTTCAAATAAATTATTTTTATTTTTAAAATATAAAAAAAATATATAACTTGCACACGGCAACTAAAATATATTTTTATGTTTTAAATAAAAATTATTTTTTTATTTCAATTTTGTAAATAAAACAGAGTAGCCATTTGCAAATTGGGTGTCTATGCTCTATTTTTTATTTCGAAAACATTTAGATTTGCCAATTTCGCCCAATTTACACAATACCCTATGTAATAGCCTATGTGACGGCTATAATTTAAATTGGTTATATAATTTGATTTAAATTAAAATTCTGACGTATAATCTATACTGTAAAGTATCATCAACATTCTTTCAGTAGCTTTTCCATGAAAGACGTAAGAAACAGCCATACTCACTTTCGTGGTTATAAGATTAATAATAATAAGATTATTGGGTAGAATCTATGTACTACTATTGACATATGAAGAAGATTCATAAATTTCTTGCTTTTCAAAATAGATGTCAGTAGTCCAAAGATAGTGGTTGTTTACATTAAAAATGAGTGTCGTGACTTATTTAGGTGACAATTCGTAAAAAGTCAAAGACACGTTCTATTTCCGTGTCGCGAATGTGTCGCACATAGTAAGCAAGTTAGCAACCTTGACTTACTATAATAAATACCTAATTCTTTCAATAATACCTACATACGATAGAGGTGAATGATCGGAATCATCATTCCTTATTAAATTTAGTTAGTTTATTAATAATAGTTTTGAACCGTCAATCAGGTGTAACATATCTACTACGGGTACATTATAAATTTGACTGTAGATTTTTTCCCCAACATACTCGTAGTATGCAATATTTTTACACGGTTATTTTGAACCGATTGTGATGATTATTTTCATCAGAAGTAGACTTTGGCAATGTCGTTTGCTTGAATACCTCTGTTTCACTTATTTCAGACGCCAAGATTGAAGTTTATGTTCGGTTGGAGGTTAAGTATACCTAAGTAGGTATATCCGAAATGGCAACCTATGAGAGGGGTAACACGGAATTACGTAATGATCATAGTATTTTCAAGCATAGATATACTACTGTAGTAAGGAAGTTTGCCAGTTAAATACAAAAAGTACAAATTGCTAAATTGTTAATCTCAGATTATGACTTTTAAAAGAATTTTAATTTGTGTTTAATTCCTTCTTTAATTACCTGTAACATAGTACTGACATACTTATGACGTATAACCATAAACAATAGAAAATAGACGACGGTCCACCGGCATACCAAATTTTATTTACTCGTAAATCCATCCATCCAGTAGTTTAGACGTGATTGAATAAAAATATTTAAACATTGCAAATTGGCAATTTTTCACATGCTTAATATTAATAGGGTCGTTAAAAATAAGTACATATTTAACGCAAAACCTACTAATTAATAGATTTAGATAACCACGACGGCCGCACTTTAGTCAAAGGCACCGCCACTGTTGTAGGGATGGTGCCAGGTGATGCACTTATACGCCTGAGAATCATAAAACATAAATAATGTATCTAAGTACATAGATATTCCTATACAGCTATGTCTATTTTGATTTTTTGGTATGGTTTGAATATAGTATTTGTGATTTGGAGTAAAAATTAGTCTATTCTATACCACACTTAGTATGTTATAAACAATATACTTACATGGAATATTATCGATATTGAAGAGCTCATTCCTTCAAGAAAAGCTTATTCCTTCCTAATAGGCAGACAATACATTTGCAATTCAGCTGGTGTTACTGGTGCTCATGGGCGGCGCGGTAGTCACTTACAGGCGAGCCGCAAGCTCGTTTATCGCTTATACCATAAAAATATGAAAGATCGCCCCTCGGAGTTTTTTTAATTATTCTAGCCTAATTAAAATTCTTTGAAGATTATGTACATAGTTATAGATATACGTATACCTACATATCTATAGAAATAGTAATCGGTACAAACCTTTAAGATTCTATCTGATTTATGAATTCATTCTAATGAACCTACATTAGAATGAATTCATAAATCAGTAACGTGGCTATAAGCATAAACTTGTGTCAATGCCATATATTTGGCAGTCTTCCATAACGAAAACTAATTATAATCTTATATTTTTCCATTAACAATATCACGAATTACTATTCGTATAATAATATAATACTTTTTCAAGAATTGCAGCTATTTCTTTCTTTAAGTATTATGTAGATACGGAAGTAAATTGTGTACCTAATACCACGACACATACCCAAAATTCGAAAGATCAAATCCGGCCGACGAAAAAGAAACTTGTTATATCAAATTATATTTCTGGCTGTTTTTCCTGTAAACTTCGATAACAAACCAGAATTAATTTGAAAGACTGGTTAACCTATTGCAACATTGACTTCGAATTTAACCAGAGCAATTTCTACATGTACATCATGACGTCGACAATTGACACTGTCTCTGACTACCATCTGCAATAATAGTCGTAAAGTTTGTTTGTTTTGTGGTTAAAAATCGAATATACCTAATAGATTTTGCAGTTACAGATTGGTGTTTGAAAATTGCCCAAATTTATTCACTTTCACCTAATTGCTACCTTTAGAACTTATTTCACATCGTTCTTATAAAAATTATACTTGTCGTCCCATTTTGGCGGTTCTTACCTTTGTCCTTTTCTCTAATTTAGGTACTAATGGACACATAAATTATGCTGACAATAAAAAGTGTTGTCATGAACCTTTTGCATTCAGATTGTTCACGTTTCTGTGCAAATGTGCATTTGAGCTTGTAAAATTGGAGCCGCAGTATGTATCAATCTCACGACTGTCTTATTCCGTTATTCTGGATTTAAATTGGTTAAATCTAAGTTCAGTGCAAAATCGGTGCCGTTTATAAGTAAATATTATTAACTTAAAAGAATTTAATGCTATACTTAATGGCATATACATGGTATTTATGTAAAATATTATATTTATCTAGGTAATATATTAAACAAAGTTACACTTAGTGATATAATTAAATATTTTATTGTAATCTAAAAAAAATCATTATTCGATCAACCCAATTACAATAGAATGATACAATGTCATTTATAATTATTCGTATATATTATTCATCACCATTCAGAAGTACTAAAATGTCATACTTCTGTACGTAACATAGGTATGTGAAAAACACACACACTTAAAAAAATTATACAATTATATATTTTAACGTCAATTTTGTTTGTATTATTTATTCCTAATTAACTCATTTGATAATTCCATACTTCAGATTAGTTAATACTATGGATATACTATTGGATCTACTTTAAAATATTTGTTACTTAACCTTAGATATATGTACACATATCAGGTAATTATCTACAGATAACTAATATAAAAACTGAAACTGTAGTAAAATACTTTGAAGCGACTAATAAGTATGCATTAAATGCTGGAGACGATAAATATATCCAATTAAAACTTTTTAAATAAGTAAGTAAAGCATAACAATCCTATTTTAATGGATATGTAGAGTGAAAGGAATAATGTCATGCTGGTCTACTATGGCATCTAATTTCATTCCAATGAATCGAATCGCTGCGCCATTTTCCGCTTTAATATGTAACATTAGCAAATCATTATTTCTACATTGCTTAGTCAATGAAAGAACTAACTGACTTTACTTTTTACACGATTAAGTTGCGTAAAAAAAAATATGTATAGAAAGGATTGAAATCCGTATTGAGATTAGACACCAGAGCAGACCTGATGGTGTCCTGAGAAATGTCACACATTGTCACTGAGTTATTGAACCCACTTATAGTGACAGATATTAAACACTCTCAGTATATCCTCAATTAGGTACTTAATGTTGTTTTCTGTTTATTGGTTTTTTATTTGACAACAATTTTATCCCTTCAATTCAAACATTAAATAGGTAGTAGTATACTTTTAATTATATCTAAATGTAAATATGGAAGTAAGAATATTTATCAAAATTTCTTCTATCAATATTTTGTACAGATTACAATCTTCTCCATTTTATTCAGTAATTTATATACGGTTGTATTCCACCACTGTAACATATAGTTAGCTACAACTTTCTACCTTAGCCCATCGAAGTAAATTTAATAAGAATTAACAGTAACGGATTCCAACAATTCGCGTGAATATCGGTCTGACATTATTAAGGAGTAACTTAGGCTACTTTTATTTTATAAAAATAAAGTTAAATTCCACGCGGACGAGATTGCTGGAACTGCTAGTCATACATAAAAAAATATAAATGATGTAGGCATAATCAAGGACTGCTATGAGTTTAAATAAGTGCATCATTCCATTATCATTCATAAAAAAATATCTGATGTGTGCAGAAATTGAACAGGCAACTTGTAAAAATTTAAATAATCTGACCCATTCCCTCAATTATAGCTTTCCTTATAGGTTCGTATATTTTTCATGAACAAACAGCGATCACTTACATTTTTATTACCTACTAGCTACTCGCCCCGGCTTCGCACGGGTGTACATGTATTATATATATTAACCTGCCCCCAGAATCACCCTATCTATAAAAAAATCCGTTGTGTAGTTTTAAAAATTTAAGCATACATAGGGACAGACAGCGACAGCGACTTTATTTTATACTATGTAATGATGATAATGTTCAGATCATTTCAAACTTTTGAGTATAGTTGTATTCATTTCTATATTTATTAATTTGCGGTTTTATTGTAGTAGTTTTGAGCCCGTTCGTAATTATATTTATGTAACTAGGCAACACTAACCATATATATAAAAAAACAATTCCGTTTCCGAGAAAACGTCAACGCCAGATCAGTATTGCTAACTTAACTTCTAGAAAGGCTCCTTTTTGTGCTCACATAGTTCCTTTTGTTTGGAATAATTCCCAAGAATTAGCCCAATATTTCCCTAGAATCTCTATCAAGAATAAAATAGAATCAGTTTAAAACGTGAGTTATTAACTCACGTTTTAAACTGATTCTATTTTATTCTTGATAGATTATTATTATGTTGTTAATTTTAAAAATATACTCAGAAGGTATAATTTGACAAAAATATTTGAATAAAACACGTTATGAAAAGTATGCTTTTCATAAAAACATACGAGCTTAAATTAAATAAAAACGAATTGTTAGAAAATATAAATTTTAACAATTCCGTCATTAATATTTTATGGCAAAATGCGTATAGTGGATTTCGCATGGATCTATCTCTTTATTTCAGTTTCCAAGCAGTTCATAATAATATTATCTCCATAGTGCTATTAATGTATAAAGACGACGGTAAGCGATAGGTAACACCTACCGCTTACCATATCAAGTGGCCGTCAGATTATAAATATGCTTTTCTTAGACATAATGTTCATCTATACACATTTTTATATAAACATGCACTAATAGATATATTTTGCGAAACCTATAAAATTAGGAAAATATTACTTTAATTAACCAACATCGATAATAATATATATTTTTTTAGTTCTTTAAAATGACATCATCACCAAGAGATCAGAATGTTAATTGTGTGGTAGCTATATTTTAGTTATGAATATATATTATAAACAACATAACATTATACTATTTTTTACTAAGTCAACAATTTTATAGGTAATAAAAATATACTAAAACATTCACATTCCTTCCAAACGTTATTTGATTGAAGCCTCTCTATAAGCATGCTTTTAATAATACGTTGAACGTTTTCCCATCGCTTTTTTCATTTGGTGCAAAACATAATAACGAGTCTGCAACACTGTACTAAATTGTCAAATTTTTGTTGTAATTTCCTCATTTACTTCATTTGTTATCGAAACAACAATTTTACGAACGAATAGAAAATTTATTTTAACATTTTATATTTAATTTTCACTACATTTACTTCAAAATGCCACGCGGTAAGTTCATTATTCAGATGTTCTAATTTTTTCTCAATGTCGTCCAATGTTATGAGAATGTGCTTTGTTAATTATACTTACATTTATTTTTGCAATCTCCACCTCACAAAGACGTGTATAGAAACCTAAACTATTTATAGCCCATTACAAAATCTTGGATGTGTACAATAATAAATACTTTTGTAGATTTCTGTGTATGTCCGCATTTCTGCACATAACCTTCTAAAATAACACTGTTTTGTGTTTTAGGTAAATACACGAACCACAAAGGACGCAACCGAAAGTTTACTAGTCCTGAAGAACTAGAAGAGCAACGTAAGCAAGAAGAACTGAAAAAAAAGTTAGTCATTTTAAGTTTATTTCATTTTATAAATTTAAAGCCTTAGCTGTTTGCCAATTTGCATTGTTAATATCTTTATTTCTTTCTTTAGTTAACACTAGTTATGCCTTTTTATCAAAATTAGTTACTTTAAAATAAGTATACTAAGACATATAGTGCATATTTTTAACACAACCAATACCATTTTGATTTATATTTACAATTATATTTTTTCTATTATCTCTATTACTTCTGAATACAGTTTCACATGTAACCTGTAATGAATATCAAATTGTTCTACACTCAATAAACTATATCTTTGTTTGAAAAAATTCCAGGTGGAGAAAAGAACATGGCGGTGAAAGTTCCAGTGAAGAAGAATCAGCTGAAGAAAAATCAGGCTCTGGTAGTGAAGAAAGTGATTCAGATGATGATGTAAGTCTGAATGATAGTTTAATCTATTTTGTTACTGGCATTCAATTCCATTGGTTTGTGGGATTCATCTGTCATTTGATAGAAAATAATAATTAATTTTGGTCTTAATTGAAATGACATTGCATAGCAACAGATTATATTTGAAGATAGTTGTTCTTTTATGGCATGATCTAAGGTTTATTTCATAAACATGTCTTTACATTTAGCCAACATTCTTGTTTTGATTTTACCTTTTTTTATAATACTTTTTTCAAATGTTTTACAGTTTTAAAGCCCACCATGAGAATATACCTTTTTGTAATAAACTTATACTCTTTTTTAATAGACAATTACTTAAAATGTAATATACTAATATTATAGGTATAGAATGCTGTTAATAATTATATTTACAAATAACTTATTATGTTTTTACAGACACCAGTAAAAGCAAAGGGTGTTTCAGGCCTCATCGAAGTAGAAAATCCAAATCGTGTAGTAAAGAAAAATAAGAAATTATCCAATCTGGATAATTTAGGAGAAGCTGAAAAACCTCAGTTATCAAGGTAATATATTTTTAGTTATATGTACTTAGTTATAACTACATAAATACTTGTTCCCCTCTGTTCAGTCACAATTACAATGGCCTGAGCAGAGGTTCGAACTCCTAGCAGTGTCCTAAGACTAAACCTGTGTCTGTCAGGCGGGAGTTGACCTTTAGCTGCTTCATTCCTATTGAAATGTCAAGAATAGTAAAAAAATAATTTTATTACACTATTCATATCAAAATTTTAAATGCATTAGAGTGAATCTTTCTTCACTATAAGTATTAACTTTATAGGTGGAAAACATGCAAATAAGCCTGCTCCCACAGTAGATCTACTTTCATATTTTCCACCAGTACGGGTGGAAAATATGAAAGTAGGTCTACTGTGTGTATTTTAAAAAGCTAGGAAATTTTATTACTTTCCATGCTCTAACATACCATTTATGCACTATGATAAACAGACATCTGCATTTTCTCACCTATTTCTATGATAAGTTTTGTTCTTTATCATAGTCCATAAATACAATCAAAACTATATGAAATGTTACATATCTATATCGTTTGAAAAGACAGAGTATACAGAGACAATAATTTATTCTGTCTTTATGTTACTGGAGTAGCCTGTTCACTGTCACACCTGAACACAACTAGGTGACTTAGTATGAAATCTAGATTTGGGAATAGTGTCTGCAAACAAAATATGTAGTATATACATTTTAAGTGGAATGGCAAACCAGCTGACATTCAACTTGATGGTAAGTAAGTGGTGACCATTTCCTGTGTACATGAACAGGACATGACTTTATCATGTGACACCTGCAATGTCACTCATGTGTTGGCATTCTAGAAGTATATTTGTATCCTGTAATAGTCTGATATAATTTTCTCAACAGACGCGAGCGTGAAGAGATAGAGCGGCAACGGGCCGCCGCAGCCTATCAGAAAGCACATGCGGAAGGTAAAACAGAGCAGGCACGCGCGGATTTGGCGAGGTTAGCCATCATCCGACAGCAGCGAGAAGAAGCAGCGAAGCGTAGAGAAGCCGAGAAAAAAGCTAAGGAAGAAACTCCTAAAAAACGGTTTGTTATATTTATATGTAAACCATTTTGTTGCAAAATTACTAAGTATAAAGTATATAATAGTATTTTATATATTGACAAATCAAGTATTTCGTAATTATATTTACTTACATAATCTGTTGATAAAATTGTTATTATTTACCTACTGAAGTAAACTTCTTCTCTACCACAGAATTAATATACTTGTATATTAATTTCCCATGGATATATATGGCTATGACGCAATAAAATGAAGAATATAGAGGTGGTATTAATATTTTAACAATTCTATCTCTAATTTTGTGTTCTGACCAAGTACCGAGTTCGACTTTGTAAAGTCGTCTGTGTGAGTACCTTAATCTCACCAATTCAAGAAAAGATTGAAACTATAGGATAAGTTTTACATCTTAGTTGTTCGGAACAGCATCGTATGAGCAATATCACGGATGTCGTAAGATGACCGTACAAATCTGTTCATAAATGTAGGTAACGTTTAACCTTTACTAACAAGTCGTCAGCTTATTTGCCATTTCAATTAGATAACAACAAATAAAATTTATGTAGCCGCAATACCCAAAGTTAGAAAAAGATTAATTAAAATCCATTCAAAATGATTATAGATGCCGTGTCATAAATATGTACCACACATAAAAAATACAGTTGAATATAATCCACTTTTTTGCGGATGACAATTTCACCATAATTTCATAACACAATTTAGTCGCCTAAATTTAAAAAAACATTGGAACATAAACTAAGCTATTTTTAACAATCTAATCACACTATATTTTTCTTTATTTGCAGGTAGACAATGTCCTGTTGATAGACTGCAAGAATATTGTTTTTTGCTGTTAACAAGCTCATACTCAAGCTAGGTCAGGCTTTCAAAATTCCAATTTTAATAAATTTAAGAATTTCAGTCTCTTTCCAAACTCATGCAATAAGGAATTGTCGGTTAATATTGTCGCATAATACGTTAAATATTTTATATCGGTTTTGAAACCCTTTCCTGGCAGTGGTTGTATGTAAATTGTATGTAAAAGGATTTGTTTAGACCTTACAATGTGTTCAAACAATTTTTTGCATCCATTAAACTAAGTACCATTATGTTATGAGCAGTTCTGTTATAATACATAGGTTTGACGGGTTCTTTACATTACATTAATCTTTTTAAATAATCAAGACAAATATTCACATTGTCATTTTCAATTTTTAAGAAGTCAAGTTTTCTCTAAATTTTGTAAAATAAGACTAGTCGTTTTCGTCAAAGTGGATGTTTCAAAGTCCACTTGTGTTGTTTCTTTTGATGTATGGTTGTAGGCAATTAAAATGCACGTGATTTTCTGATATTGATCAATCATCTTGGGAAAATGCACAGTAATTTCAGTCTAACATTTTTGTACCCACTGACAATTTGCCATAAATAGGACTAAAATGATTTAAATAATGCTGGCTTAGTTGGCTATTTAATAAAGAAAATAATATACTAATAACTTGTTTGTGGCGATTGTGTAAGCTACGTAACTTTGATGTTTTTTTACCGCATCGTTACTCAGAATCTGTTTTATTATTAACATGATTTATATTGTCATTATGATTAAAAAGTTCACTTATATTATTATAATAAAATGTATTATATTATGATATGTAAAATAAATATTTAAAAGCGAATATAGTAAAGGGTATATATTGTATTTACATATATTTTCAATTCCACCTGAATGTACCTAAGTATATAAATTTTATGTATCTATTTTGCTTAGGTCTAATTATTAGATAGTCTCACTAGGCAATTTTTATATGCAAACTTGTATCTGTACAAATAAAAGTTGAAAATGATTTTTATTTTACTTTATCGGCTTGAATAATTTATTATCTCTTTTCCATTGTCCCTCGTTTGCGCAGATCCTATTATACGTACGACTTAAAGATCTCGTGTGTTATAAGTCTATCTGTGATCTATACTATTTTATTCAGGTTTTGTAAGTTAGTAGGAGGTAATTTCTCCTGAACTGATTTTGAAAATTCTTTTAGTTTGTTGGATATAATAAAGAAAGCGCAGTGATACCAGAAATGTTCCAGAGTATAACTGTGGTCCTGTTTATGTACATACCACCTATAGGCGACGATTATCACTTACCAGCAGGTGGGGTGTTTGTTACATAAGAAAAATTGCTCAAAATAATTCTTTAAACACTGGTTTCGGATATTCTACAGATTAAAAAAAATTGACTTAATTATTTGTTAAGAATCGGTACTATAGGTCGTTGTACATCATGGCTCGTGGTTAAGTCCTGGAGAATTCACCACGACGCACTGTGCATGTATATCGCGAAGGTATAATTTACCTGATTATGGTATATTCATCTTTTACTGGTGGTGTCTTGTGCACCTTTAGAATTGGCGGTATCACTTTACACTTACCATAAAAAGGTACTACCTTTATTTATTATTTAAGCTGTGATCTCCTCATAGATTAAATTATTTTCCAGTTAGCTTTTAAATTTAATTCGCGTTGAGTTTTCATTAAAATTATTTCATACCTAGATTATGTTGATATTCCTTATATACCGTTTTCATAAGAATTATAAAAAGCGCAGACGCTCGGAAACCTTTTTATTAACAACATAAATTACGCTCGTGGTCGCTTTCAACCGAGGAAAATTTTTCGTCGCGTATTATGATGTCATTTAACTAATATATGTAGCACATACATGAAACAATATTCTTTGATGATAGAACAAAAAATACCACACGGGTTTCATATTTTCAGGAAAGTAATAGTAAATTAAAATATTTTTATGGACAATAAACCATAGTAGTAGGTATAATCCAGCTAGAAATTTGCTAGGAATACTTGTCTTGTCTATTACCTACTTGACTAAATTATTTTACGTGAAGGAACACTACAAAAACGTATTTTCGGTTCATTGTTGTATGTATCTATCATACCATACATACTACACACGTACATTGCGGAAATCTGTGTTTTACAAAAACATATACCTACTTTACTGTTTATTAACACCTATAGATATATAGATATCATAATTCTTCTATCAAAATAACCGAACTAAAAATACGTCTCTAAATTTTATTATAGGCTGGTATACGTCGTCCTTACAAGGGTGAAGTGAAATTGGCGACTGATAAGGGTAGGAGGGGAAGATAGACGCTGGACGTAGGTTGACGTCGGTAAACGCAGTAACTGAGATGTTATCATGTTTACCGCTCTTTGCCGTCAACGTTATGGTTCAACGGGCGCCAATTTTAAATACGATTAGGGTCTCAAATCCTAACTCGCAAATATATGTAATATGTTAGCTATCAACACACTTACCTGCGTATTATACACGCCTCACCGCCAGCTAGTGCTATAAATTTATTTTCTACTATGTTCCTATCTGTGAAAATCAGTAAATTGCTTTTCTGATTAAATATTATATAGTATTCTGTTTGTATATAGCCTTAGTTTTCCGAATAAAATAAAAAAATAAGCCAAAATTAGAAAACTATAAAGTAGATAGTCAATATTTACTTCATACGAGAATTTGTAAAAGACTAAAAACCTGTCTTTTATGGAATGATTTTAGGATTGCCGCTAGGTTCGTCTGCTCTAATGCTTTTGTAGTTTGAGAATTAAATCAGGTTAGTAATTAACCACAATGATTTCCATGGAAAACCGCATGGTTTTGCTCCCGACCTGGTAGAGAGGCCCCAATGTTAGCAATATAGCAACATTGCTAACATTGGGATCTCTACCAGTAATTACTATCAATGATTTCCACCATATCTCTGTCTCATCTGATATTCATTCTTTACCAAGGGACCTCCATAATGAGTCGATTTAAAGAAAGATAAATTCACTGAGTAATTGCTGTAAATATAGTAGAAGAGAATAAAAATAATATAAATAATGTTTATTCAAATAATCTTAATATAAGCACATATATGCAAGTACAGGCACAGGTATAAGAACTTTTAAATAGTATTATTATTATTATTCCCATCAGTTATAGTTAATCTACATTCCGAAGAATGTAGATTCAGCACAAGAAACTTACATGACAATTTTAAGGTTTTGTGTGAATAAATTATGCTATTAGTTAATTCATTCAATAGAGGTGCATATAGGAATCGATTGCGATGCTATTGAGATTCTACAGTGCTGTAGGTACTATGTAAGTGTTCATACTCGTAAATTGCGGTCGCAGCGTACGTGAAGCCAACCGTATGGTTGATTGCCATCTTTGTTATTCAGTTCATCATCCACTACGCCTTTTTTAAGAAACCTTTCACACATGCGCATGAGTTCTTAAAAAAAGGCGTAGTAGTTTCTAGATTAGGCGAGTAACTACTCATTTTGTTACATCCATGGTGCTGTTCATACATATAGGTGGTGTTAAACATTATCCAGTAACATAAAAAATACTCTTTCCCGAGGCATGGAGATTTTATATCGCTCCCGTCATGTTATTAGACCATTAGTTAATAATATTTTATTAAACGAAATTCCTGATATATCTGTAAATTGTCTAGACTATATTAAATAGGTAAATGTCCCTGGTGAATATTCAAATGCGCGGCTAACCCAGTGCAATTTACTTATCGTCCGGCAGACACCGATTTAGATAGCACCGGCAATGCTTTGTTGCTGGAAATCAGGACACATCCCCGAGGATACGGGCTTGGGAAATCGGTGCTTACCGTGTCGAAAATATTTCCATTATTGAGTAACTTTTCTTGTCTTCCATCTTACTTGATTTTATATTTCTGTGCCATGTGCTGATTTGTATTGACACGGAATAATAACTTCATAACTTTTTTAAGATATTCTTATAACATATTGTAGGTACCGTAAATAAATCAGTAACTAACCGATGGTTACCGCATCCATCAGATAAACCAATTCCAATACCTGCATATAAATGCAATGCAATATTAGAGTAGTGTATTCAGTATCACGCAAAATAATAAAATCGTTATTTAACATAATTATTGCTAAGAAGCGGTAACTGTCACTTATAAGCAATTAGAAGGCAATACATAGGTGACAAAAATGTATATTTTTATTCGAATTCTTTGCTTTCTTATACGTAATATCTAAGCACTTAAACCCTGTAGTAGGCACCTACATAATATAATTTTAGTTCTGCATTATCCACATCCAAAGAATATTTTGCTAGTTTCAAATTTCACCCTATTCAGAATCAAATTTGAATGTGAAATTTGAATCTCACTTAAAATAGTTTAATAAAAAAAACTCCATGAATACACACATACATTATATTATTGTACCTAATTTGAGTGGTGAATAGCTGGTCGAATATCAAAATTGCGTCGGAGGCATCCGTAAAAGCAGTAAATTCTCATTACCGCTTGCCCTCTGCTCGCAGCGCCCCGAGCACCGTCAAACTATGCTAATTTAACATACGCCTCCCTCGACGACTGGACCATCTACATATCTACATGGCGAGGAAATAGGTGATATACCTAAGAACTCAACTTATTTTCGGTTAACTATTTTAACTAGAGTAGGTACTTGAAGGATCGAACTTTGCTCATCGTAGTTTTTTACTATAAAATTATGTAACTGGAATAGCAAAGAAAAAGGACCTCCTTACGAAAAGTGGAACCCATCGCTTATAGTACATTTACTGTTATTAAGGAGATTGGCCTACAGCTTGGAAAAGTTAGCATGGCAGCTAGACGCAAGTGCTATTTACGAGGAGACTAAATACTATGGTGATTAGTTCTATGTAAATTGGTCACAAATATCATCAGTACCAAGCTCGTTTTATGTGAATAAAAGAACATTATTAGGTACATCATCAATAAACATGAGTTTAGAGTTTCTGCATATTTTTAATAATTTAATAGCTCCAACGCTGGATATTTTAAATCACTCACCTTTAAGTCTAATCTATAAGATATCTCAGATTCAGATAAGAACATATTTAACCAGTAAACAGATCCGTAGATGGATCCGTTTTAATTGTGTTATTAAATAACTAATAAAGTTTAAAAGTAGATCTTAGTTTCTCGCCTTCCAATAAATAATAGATAAATTAAATGGCAGAGAGAGCGCAGCCAAATGAAATTAAAACTTTCCGGTGGGTTCCACCTAAATCACACCAAACTGATTTATATTTCACGCACCATCCGCCGGTATCGCTACCCGAGCGAAATTCAGCCATCTCTAACCTCAGTTCGTTAACTTCGTATGACTGTGTGCAATACGTAAATCTACCTGTAAGTAAATCTACCTGTTTAATAATTTGTAAACAACCATTTGTATATAATTGTGACTATATTAATGTATCTGGGATTGACATGACAAGAGATTTAAAAAATCTTCATTAAAAAAGTATTATCATTTTTGTTTTCACGACTCTGTAAATCTACGCCAAAAAAGTAGGTTATCTTAATTCAATAATAAAGAATCACGTGCGTGGAAAAAATATATAGAAATAATAAGTAGAATATTAATATTATGTACCTACCCACAAGTCTTTTCTCTAATTTCACGCAACTGCAAAAAGGATTTGTAATGAATAACCTTTACTTCCGCAACACTGTAACGGTATTAGATGGGGTAGTCAGAGTCTCAAAACATCTGATATCTTTATTTATATTTGGTCAACTAGCAACTACGTCAATTGTATAATAATAAAGACATTTATTCACCATTACATATGTAATTATATAATAGGTTTATCATTTTACGGAATTCATTAAACGATTTGTACCAAGAAGAATGTGATTAAAATGCAACATTACATTTCGAATCCTCATTTAATTGAATCTCAATGTAGTTTCGTAACATTTCAGTTGATTTTATGGCACTTTACTGT